CTGGGAGGAATTGACCTCCAGGCCAATTGGCTGTGAGAATCAGCTGTGTCTAAAGTGGGAGAACTTCTGTGCTGAAGACACCCTTCTGGGGCAAGACTTGCTTCAGTGGGGCTTTGGTGCTCACTGAGTCTGCTCCCTGAGTGTTTCCCTTATGGATCTGAGGAGTTGCAGTCTGGATGGTCCCCCTCTGACCACTGGGTACAGTGGCTCCTGGATCTAAGGAGGTGCTAATTCAGCCTCTGCCTGAGGCCACACAGCAGGAGCCACGAAGAGGCTCAGCTGTGAAGCAATGCAAGCCGCTGCGGGGCCTTGGGCCTTCTCTTGGAAGTTCCAGGTCTGCCTGGCTCGGCTGCAGTTAGGTACATTCACATGCAAAAGCCTCTGCCGCAGCCTGGGTGGGGCGGGGTCTCAGGGAATCCAAGGGCGGATCAAGGAGCTATGGCTGATTCTCCGCCCGGAGTCGCGGGTCTCAGTGACCCGCTAATTGCTGCAAGCACCTCTGAGGGAAAGCCGCCTTCAAGTTCACCCACTGCCGGACAGACCAGCTTCTCCCGGTATGAGTCCTGGGTCCCCAGAGACTTCCCGGAACTGGAGTTCAGAGCAGTCGGGAGCTTGTGATTCAAAAAGACAGCCGCGTCCTCAGGTGCCACCCCCTTTCCTCGCGCGTGCGAGCCGCCGTACCTCTGCACTTCACCTCCGCAGCGCCTCTGGCTCTCAGCGTGCTTTTCTTTCCTTCTAGTTGTAGAATTTACACTCAGCCAGCCTTTCTGTTGTTCTGGATGATGTTTGCTCAGTCCTTTGCGGTAATTTCCAATTGTTGTGTGAGGCGACAATTTCCCGGTGTTTACCTATGCCGCCATCTTAGTTTCTTCCCCCCCATTAAATCTTTATAATACCATATGAGGTGTTATTATTCCTATTTTATAAATGATGAAGTTGAGCCACAGAGAAGTTAAGTAACTCACATAAGGATACACAGCTGGTGAGTGGTAGAGCCTTGAGGCAAACCCAAGCATCCTGGCTTTAGCTCTCATGGTCTGAACCATTATACTTTGGCTGCCTCTTATGTGCCATTCCTCTTTTCTGGAATGCTTTTTATTTTTACGTTTCCCTTGCTTTCTTTAGAGTACAGCATGCGACACCTCCATTCATTTAACGTATGTATTAAGTGAGCGTCCATTCTGGACCAGACACTGCTTTAGGTATTGGTGATATAGCAGTGAGCAAAACAGAGTTCCTGCTCTCATGGATTTTACATTTAGTTGGAGGAGACATAAAATATGTATAATTTATATATGTTGGCAATGTATTTTCTCTGAAGAATCAAAAAATTAATTACCTTCAGGTATTGAAGTAGACTAATTTCCAAAACAAGGATTATATTTTTCATTAGCCAATCTCTTAAAGGTGTGATTGACTGTTTGTATCCATTATATTTTTTGTCAAAACAATATCATCTGATAATAGCTGGTGTGGAAAGTTGTGTCTCAGATTAGCATGAAGGAGATCTATACAGGAGGACTCTTGGAATCGATAGCTATGGAGGAAGAGGGAAGGGAAGGGAGCAAGCTTAGGTAGGAAAGAATCAAGATGCTTTGAAATCTCAACAGATACCTTAGTTCTGAAGAGAAGTTCACACTTCAGAGCTTTCCTGAGTCACATCTAGGGCCTTTTTATACCCCCACATCGAATTAGTCATTGGTTGTGGGCTGTTTCTAGGAAGCGGGTGTGATCATATGCAAAGAGTGAAATCTCTGAAGGAGGCTGACAACTGGGGATTGTCTGCTGGTAATACTTCTAGAAGCTGGTATAATAAATGCTCCATTGCTAATGGGTGAATCTGGGGGTGGGGAGTGCGGAGGGGGAAGGTCAGATTAAAGCATCCACCATGAGGTTATTTGAAGATTTGGATTTTAATTTCTATTCTATTTTCTATCTGAGACATTGGCAGATAGTGTTCTAGAGTTGAAAGTGTTTTACTTTTTAAATTGGTAAAATAGGATTAGTATGTCTAGATTGATGGTTATTTTGAAGATTACGTAAGATAAAGTTTGTTTAAATGCCTGGAACATACTCAGTATTCTATAACTGTTTATAGGCAAAAGAAACAGTGATATTCCCTTGTCATAAGTACATTTTCTGGAAGATGGATTTCTCCTAGAAAGTATTTTTTCTATATTTAGTTAAGAAATATTTGAGTCCTAATTATGTCACTGGTTATGTGAATATATTTAAAAGTCCAAAATTTGTGTCTTCCAGTTGTTTACAATTTAGTTGATGATGTGTTATCAGTATATGATGAGTTAAATAACAAAAGGTGGAACATAAAATACATGTTGGACAGGTTTAGAAATATAGACCATTGGACTTGTTCAGTTGAAAAAGGTTTAATGGAAGTTGTGTTGAAGTGCCTGTTAAGATTGATCCCCACCTCCCTCCATAAACTGAGCCTTAAACTGAGGAAATGTCAGGATTAAAGATTGGATCATCAGGTCTTATGTTTGAGGATTGTGAGTTAAAGGAGATATTTGTAGTAATTTGTGTTGGGAATGATGGGATCAAGTTGAGAATAGAAATTAGAACCAGATTATCAAGAGTCTTAAATACTACAGAGAGTTGGAGTTACAGATTTAGGAGACCCCTACATAGAGATAATAGTTAAAACATTGAATGTGCAGTAGGTTTGAGAGAGAGTCGGAATAAATGAAAGAATAATAGAGCGGGTGTAAAGAATATCTTGTGATTGAAGACAAAAGTGTTCAGAATATAGTAGAAAGAGAGCCAGGGAAGCATACTGTTAAGAAAGCCAAGGCAAGAGGGTTCTTAGAAGAAGGGGCAGAAAACCATGAGATACTTAGGAAGAGAATGATTATCAAAAAAAGGCGATTCAGTTTCTATGCTTGGCTCTCTGCTTACCTTTAATAGCCCCTAAGACTACAGTTTTAACTTTTTTTTTGCAGATGACTGAAATTTTTAATTTCTTATTTCCTGCTCTATGCTCCAAATACTCAGGTTTATTCACAGTTCCTAACACAGTGTCAGTTCCTTCATTTCTTCAAACAAATATTTATCAAGTAACCATTCTGTGTTAGGCATTATGTTGGCCACTAGGAATATAATGAGCTTACATTGTAGCTGGGGTAGGCGGTGGACTGAAAACATTGGTTTATCTCTCTGGCGGTAGAAGAGGTAGCCAGGGCCAGTTCACAGAGGGCCTTGTAGACGCTTAGGGACTTTGGATTTTACTCTGCATGAGAGACAAAAGGCATTTGAAGAGTTTAAAATAGAGGAAGCACATGAACTACATTAACTTTGTAAACCCTTAGAACAGAGTGTGACACATAGAGACAGTTATGTAAGTGTTCCCTTAGAGTCATTCTGTCTGTTTAACTTACCTTTGGAAGGATGACTACTATATGATTAAATCATAGGCTTCGAATGGCTCCTTGGGAGAAACCCCAGGCTTCTGCCTAAAACATCTTTTTTATTTATTTTATTTTTTCCATCACCATTTATCCCCTCTATGCCCGCTTCCACCTCCACCCACCCCTCCTCTCCACAATCGCCACACTGTTGCCCATGTCCATGAGTTCTCTCTTTTTTGCTCAATCTCTCCCCCACCCCCCAGCTGTCTGCCTGCTCTCTGAGTCTGTCTCTAGTTTGCTTGGTAGTTCAGTTTGCTCATTAAATTCCACGTATGAGCGAAATTATATGGTACTTATCTTTCTCTGACTGGCTTATTTCACTTAGCATAATGTTCTCCAGGCTCATCCATGCTGTTGCAAAGGGTAAATTTTCTTCCATTTTACACAGAGTAGTATTCCATTGTGTAAATGTACCACAGCTTTTTATTTTATTTTTTAATACGTTTTTATTGATTTCAGAGAGGAAGGGAGAGGGAGAGAGAGAGATAGAAACATCAATGGTAAGAGAGAATCACTGGCCCTAACCGGTTTGGCTCAATGGATAGAGCGTTGGCCTGTGGACTGAAGGGTCCCAGGTTCGATTCCCGTCAAGGGCATGTACCTTGGTTGCAGGCATATCCCCAGTAGGGGGTGTGCAGGAGGCAGCTGCTCGATGTTTCTCTCTCATCGATGTTTCTAACTCTCTGTCCCTCTCCCTTCCTCTCTGTGAAAAATCAATGAAATATATGTATTTAAAAAAAAAAAAAAAAAGAGAGAGAATCACTGATCGGCTGCCTCCTGCATGACCCCCAGGGCGGGTCAAGCCTGCAACCTGGTCATGTGCCCTGACCGGGAATTGAACCGTGACCTCCTGGTTCATAGGTCCACATTCAACCACTGAGTACCACAGCTTTTGTATCCACTTATCTACTTTTTGTTACATTTTGAGTTTTATAATGAATGGCTGCTAGGTGGACTTACATACTATTGCTTACACATTTATGTCTATTCTTACATTTTTTGAGTATCTACCTTAAAATATGAATCATTTAAAAGCCAATTTTGGCTAATAGGGATTTTTTGGGAAAACAGTGAACATGAGGGTATGAGATCTAAAAATTATGACATGGAAAGAATGGTTGACAGCCTTATGGGTGGTTAATCTGTGTAAGTTAGGGCTGAGGAAGAGGACATGACAGATCTTTGTCAAATTATTGAAGGGCCATTTCTTGGACAAAGGGTAGACTTTTTGAGAAGGGGAGACCTGGGACTAGCGATTGGAACAGTTTTCTGTTAAATATAAGGCAGAAGCCATTCATCTATGGAGCGCAATGCCCAATGAAAGAGTGATCTTCTGATAATGAATATTAAAGCAAAGGTGGGACTACCATCTGTCAGAGCTGTTAGGTGGAGACTGGATTAAATTGGTTTCTTACTAATTTAATTTTTACTTTGCACAGATAGTTTACTGGAAGCAACACATGTTGATGCACATACAAAATAGCTGAAGTCCATCAAGTCGTCAGGCATTCAGTAATGTGTAGAGCATTATTCATTTTAATCATCGTCTAACTCAAAACGCCCTTTCTTTTTCAGGGATATCATGATAACACACTTTGAACCTTCCATCTCCTTTGAGGGCCTTTGCAATGAGGTTCGAGACATGTGTTCTTTTGACAATGAACAGCTTTTCACCATGAAATGGATCGATGAGGAAGGTGAGTGGTAAAGAGAGGACTGCAAGTGTAAGCATTTGATTTAGATGCTATTCTTGTCATTTATTTTTAAAACATAATAGAAGTCCTTATTAATTTAAGGGGGGGAGGTATTCTACAAATTTGATGCCATTCTTATTTTTCTGTAAGTATTTAAATTGAAACACTACCAAAGAGTATCATCTTTGTTTTGCCCTTTTTACCCTAAAATGGAGTGAAATCGGTGTGACTTTTTTCCAGCAGTAAGATAAATATCTCATCAAATAGTATTACATTTTACTTTAATTTTGAATTTGTATTGTCTTATATTTTAAGTGACCTTTAATAATTTGACAGTATTTTTTACTGTATATTACTTTAAAGAAAATGTTATGGAATAAAAATGATTGTGACAAACATTATTTCAAAGACTGCGGCAGAAATGTCATACCTTACTGACTTGTACTCAAAAAGCATTTATTGAGTATCTGTGTGTCGAGGATAGTATTTTTCTATCCCCACACTCACAGCCTCATGGGGAGACAGACACGTGAAGTGTGGTGGAATGCAAAGGAAGTAGCATCAACATATGCCTGAAGTCTCTGTGATGTTTGAACTAAACTGTAACAAAGAGTAAAAGTTTTTGCAGTGGAGGAGGTAAGGGAAAAACCGCTTCCAGTGAAGATATAAAAAGGCACAGAGGTAAGAACGTGGTATGTGGGGAAGAGCATTAATTCACCGTGTGGGAGTGGTGTGAGGTATGAACTTGAGCTAGATCCTTGCTACTCAAAGTGTGGTCTGCAGAGCTTACTAGAAAGGGAATCTCAGGCCCCATTACAGACCACTGAATCAGAATCTCTAGTTTAATAGGATCTCCAGGTGAGTTGCATGAATTCCTGACGGCTTTGCAAGCCACATTTAACTTTATTTTGCATGATGGAATGTCATTGAAGTGTAGTTAAAAGGTCTTTCCCAGCTGGTGTGGCTTAGTGGCTGAGCGTCAGCCTAGGAACCAGGAGGTCACAGGTTTGATTCCCAGTCGGGGCACATGCCCTGTTTGCGGGCTCAATCCCGGGGGGTGCAGGAGGCAGCTGATCAATGATTCTCTCTCATCATTGATGTTTCTATCTTTCTCTGCTTCTCCCTCTCTGAAATCAACAAACATATTTTAAAAAACTGATTTAGAGACAATTCATTAAAATATCTTATAGTACCCTTATATTTTGTATTATCTTTACTTGGAGAATTCTGTTCCCAGATTGTCACATGGCTTTCTCTTCCTTGTCATTCAGGTCTTAATTCAAATGTCATGTCCTCCAAGAAGCCTTTTAGCCCTATTCACGTTGCATCTTATTTGTATGGTAGAATGTAAGCTCCATGAGAGCAGAGATCATGTTTCACTGTGGAACTCCAGTACCTAGGGCGGTACTCAGTAATAGTATGCACACAAACTTGTAACTTGTATGAAGGTTAATATCAAGCCTTTCCATAGTGTAGTTTTATGTATATTATGGGAGATTTAAGCATTGGGAGTTGCGGTGTGTTCTGTTTTTTTCTTAACAGTAGCATATTTTAGGTAACAGATTCACAGAGTAAATTCAATTAATTATCTGATGAAATAGTCTCACCCTTTTATAATACAATTCATAGTTTTTCTCTCTAAATAGCCATTAAGTGCCCTAATGTTCTGGGGGAAAACAAGAAAACTGAAGCCTTTGCTTCATTCAAATAAAAAAGTTAAACTTTCCATTAAGGTTTGTTGATTCCTTTCTTGCCCTGGTTAATTTCTGATACTAGTCTTCTCTTGATTGTAGGCACACAGAGCCAGTTGTAATTATTTTTGAGTTCCTTGCAATTATTTTTCAGTTGTAGTTTTGTCACCTTTGTTTTTAGCCACAGAGGCATTTGGGACATGCTTGTCTGGAGAAAAAGTTTTCTCTAGGATGTGTGGAAGACAGAACTATAATTTTATTTCTCTGGTTTATGAGAAGCCAAACACTGTTCTAGAAGCTAAACTTTTAATTGTGGGGCTTTATATTAGAGTAAATAAAGATCATAGGCTTACTTCATTCCTTTAAACAGATTTATGGCAACCGCCCTTTTTCCTTGTGTTCAAAACCAGTTTTACTGATTTGTTTTGATGTACACGTGGAAAAACTGGTTTGTTTAATGGAACTAAAGACTTTAGAATGAATAGTAAAATTTTGTAATAATCATACCCCCTTTTCTCATACTGAGAGTGAGTGTGGAGCAGAGAATGATAAACATGACTTTTTAATTCATCATTTTTAAACTGTGGCCATTTTTCCTTAAGGATGCATCTTTTATATTTACAACCTAATAATATTTGCTAACCTTCTAATTTATTCAGGGTTTGATTACCTGGTTTAAATTTCACTATGTTTCTTTCAGTCCTTTCTCTTTTACTAGAAAGTTAACCTTTGGACATTTTGTTTCTTATTGAAGTTTTTATTAAGGATATTGGGTCATAGGTTCAATTCTGGGTCAGGGCTCCTGCAGGCTTGATCCCCAGCAGGGAGCATGCAGGATGTTGATGTTTCTCCCTTCCTCTCTCTCTAAAATCAATAAAAACATGATTTGTGTGAAGGAAAAGGTATCTCTGGGCATTCTCAGATTCCCAGAAGTAGTTGCTATAAACAAATTGATGATGTATTTTTCTGTGAATATACAACTAGGGGGGACATGGTGATAGGTCTTTTTCTTTTTTACAATAAGACTAATGTTGTACAAGCTATAATTTAATGTGCTTTTTCATTTAACATCTTGTGGCTCTTTTTTCATATCAGTGCATGGAGATTTATCTTGCTTCTCTTAAAATGTTGTGTGGTATTATAACATGGTTGTACCCTAATTTATTTAACTAGTTCCCTTTTGATGGGTATTTGGATTGCTTGTAAATTCATTATAAAAATTATTGGTGCAAAGAATATGTGTGTGCATAGATTTTTGGGGGCACCTGTAGTGTATTATCTCTAGGGCAAATTCCCTGAAATGGAATGTGTCCTTGACGATAGATGGTACTAAATTGACCACCAAAAATACTGTACCTTTGTTATACTTTAACCAGTAGCATATGTGAATTCTTTTTTTTTATACCCTATAAAAGACTATGTGAGGGGAAAAATTGAAAATGATTTGCAGAGAGAGTGGGAGAGGATATTATTTGGATGTAGCATTTTAAATTCATGTCCTATTGGTTATATAAGTTAGATTCATGGAAATTTAAAATGAATATAAGCATTCTTTGGCATAAAAGTATGGAGTTTTTCTGAATTCTGGGAGCTTAAACTTCTTCCTGGCTTGTATATATTATAAAACTCATGTGGTATTAGGAGAGGAAATTGAGTGCCATGGTGTAACAAAACCAAACTTAAGATAGTAAGGAACATACTTCTTTTATGTGATATTTTCCAAGCATCTTTAGTCTGGTGTAATTTTAGCTGGTGTGCTGAGAACTAAAATAGCAAATCATTCCTCAGACTTCTTCTTTATCACCCCACACTATATACTAATTTTGGCAATCATGTCAGTGAGGAAAACTTTTTGACTGAATGTCTAGTTATTGTTATTTCAATTACTTTAATAGCAGTATTATGGCTTCAAACCTGGCAATTAAAAAATGAAATCAGTATCAGTAAGAAAAAGCATCTAAGTACCCTTGAGCAGATCTCTTTGTAATGCTTATTTTCCTCCTGCTTCCTTTAACATTTCTTGTAGTGGAGGCTTGCTGGTGATGAATTCTTTCAGCTTTTCATGTCTTTATTTCATATTTTAAAAAAATGGCTTTATTGGGTGGTGGGCACACAAATGCAACATCAGGATGATATATCATAGAATTGTACACTTGAAACCTGTATAATTTTTTTCTCCTTTTAAAATTTATCTTTATTGTTGAGAGTATTACAGATGTCTTCTCTTTTCTCCCATTGTTCCTTTTATTAGCCAATGTGACCCCAATAAATTTAATTAAAAATAAAATGGCTTTATTGAGGTGTAGTTGACATACAACAAACTGTATGTTTAAAAGTGTACAATTTGAACCTGGCTGGTGTTGCTCAGTGGTTGAGCACCGACTCATGAACCAGGAGATCACGGTTCAATTCCTGGTCAGGGCACATGTCTGGGTTGTGGGCTCGATCCCCAGTAAGGGAGCGTGCAGAAGGCAGCTGATTGATAATTCTCTCTTCATTGATGTTTCTATTTCTCCCTCTTCCTTCCTCTCTCTGAAATCAATGAAAACATATTTTGGAAAAAAAGTGTAAAATTTGATGAGTTTTAATACGCAGAAAATCATCACCACAAGCAAGATATGGAATATATCCATTACCCTCAAAAGTTTCCTTGGGCTTTGAAATTCCTCACTCCTGCCCCTCCATCCTAGGCAACTACTGATCTGCTTTCTATTGCTATGGATTAGTTTGCATTTTCTAGAGTTTTATAGGAATGAAATCATACAGCATGCCTGATTTTTGGGCGAGGGGGTTGGTCTGGCTTCTTTACTCAGCATAATTATTAATGTATGGGTTGTGTTTATTAGTTTACTTCTTTTTATTGCTGAGTTGTATTTCATCATCTTGATGTGCCACAATTTGTTTATCCATTCTTCTTTGTGATGGACATTGAGGTTGTTTCCAGTTTTGGGCTATTACAAATAAAAGTGTTTTGGCAATCAGTTACAAGTTTTTGTATGGATATATGTTATATGTAATATGCTAGGTATATATGCTTGTTTTTTTATAAAATAGGAAAAGACATGTTTGAAAAAGAGATGAGGTGGGGTATTGCACCGCAGGCACATTCCCAGGCAGATGGCTTTTAGAAAGGAGCTTATGTGAAAGTTAAGGATCTGGGCATTGATACCTTTGTAAAACTGTTTACGTCGGGTAGTCCCTGGAAAGTCTTCCTGCACTCCCAGGCATAGCGCACCCCACGCAGAAGACAGCTGGCTTAGGAAAGTCCCCAAGTACTTCTCTTAGTTCTGGCCTCTGCAAAAGGATCAGACT